CACAGCTCTTTGGCCGGAAAAGAGAGCAAATGCGGAAACCAAAGTCCCAAACCGCCTTGCTTATTTTTTTTCTGACATCGAATTTAGCAACACAACTCGCCAATAAGCGTCAGTAAACAAAAAAATAAGCGTCGCCAAATGCAATTTTTCTTGTAGTGCGCCGCGGCTACCGCCCCTAAGCCATGACAACAGCGGACGGAGGAGGAGGGTTCACTACACCGGCTTTGTCCATGACCCGAGAGGAGGGCAGCAGGCAGGTGGAGAAGAGGAGGAGCAATGCGCCAATGCTCTTTATTTTTTATTTTTATTTTTATTTATTTTTATTTTTTTATTTTTTATTTTAATGCCGAGTGTTTTAAGAGAGAGAAGTAGAGTCAGAAAATAAATATCTATTCACCCCAATTCGCAATTCCATTGAATTGATCATTTTTTCTTTGAAAAAATTACCCACGTACGTGGGAATCTCTTTTTATTTTCCACTATATTATACCATATTTTTATTTTATTTCATCTCTTTATTATATAAGAACTATAATTAAATACAGTTCAATATTTTTCCTACCCAAAATTATTAGAAAAATGTTACAACTACACAATAAATGTTCATAGATGTGTACATAACACTCACATGAGGTAGGAAAAATAACACTCATAATAATAAATCTCACTCAATGTGAGTGTTATGTACACCACACCACTATGTACACTTCTATGTGTCTGTAGCATTTCTCAAATTATTATTATTAGTAAATAAATAAAGACGTATATATAGGTAAATCCATTATTCTAAAGAGTTGGGCACGACATTCGTGCACATTTAGCCAACCCTTTTAAAATGTTCGAGAATTAAGCAGCGTCTAGGCTGGTTTCCTAGCAACTTAGTTTGATCGTTTGATGAGTACGATTTTGTTGATTTATAACAAACTTATGACCACAAAAATGGATTTCAGTAATGTAACATGTTGTGGTTTAAATCTTTCACTCATACATGTTGTGGTTTATTGGATTAAGAGATAAAGTCTTCATAAAATCCTCATTATCCTCTGTCTTTGGAGCAATCCTCGTTGGCAAAGTTCATCACATTCTTGTTTATGTCGAAGACGAACCTCTTATTGCGATGATGCATGGCTCCGAGTATCGACATAATTGTTCGAGACCAATGCAAGGCACATAATGCCTATAATGGGGTCCACAAACATATCGTTCGTCATGTAGTCACCCCCCTCAAGATGAAAAGTCATGCTGGCATTGCTTCTCATACTCGAATTGTGCCTATAGCAGAGGCCCCATCCCGGCATTTTCACCTGTTTAAGCCTATCGCCGTAATAACCCTTAAAAGCTTTTATTACCTTGTCATAAGTGTAACTCTGGAGGATCGTGAACTGAACCCCTGTGTCGATGAGTAAACATTCACTTCGGTTCGAAATCGTACCCGCAGAGAGCCCTAGCCTCTTACCAACCACACTTATGTCCGTTAAGCCTACGTACACAGAAGGGTGCAAAGGATTTAATAACTTTGTTGTTTTGTAATCTTTTGTGACTTGTGGTATGTCGTCCCCGAATCTTAACATGCCATGACCCTTGTGAAGGCAGTAAGAGTAACGTTCCTTGACTTTTTCCCTCATCTGGCTAATTAGAGAAACGGGCCGCTTGTCCATGCCGAGGATTCCGAAGAACACGTGTGTCTTGTGTGAGCACCCAAACACCATGTTTGTGAAAGTTTTTGATTGATTGTTCCTTAGAGGTAGGAAGAACGAGTCCGATGAGAGGTTGTAATTGACCACATTTCTTATCCTGCCCTCTAAAACGTATCTAATGGTGAAATAACACTTTTTTGTCTAAGCATTCACATACGCCTTCGTCCTTTAGACATAAGGGACGATTACATGGTAACACACGGTACATTTTAGACTTTTTCGGGTCGAAATGAGATGTTTGAAAGAAATTGGATCTCTTACGTTGGGTCCAAATAGCGCCACTGTCAATATCGAGAAGTAGGGTCACCTCAGTTCCGGGGCTCCCAATTTTGATTTTTGACCGAGTATTCCAAACCTTTGTTCTTTAATAGGAGTTGTATTTTGTTGGCATTGAGAGTCCCTTTCATTTAGGGTGCATAGATGGTCGCCCGCGACTTGGATAACTCGGCCATCATTTGTAGTTTTTGTGTTTGTGCGAGGCTTGGTTTGTATAAGGGCGATTCGGGAGATTCCCATGGTTTGAGTTTTAGGGTAAAGCCGGAGGATTCTGAATCTACACTGCTTAAGAAAGTTAGTAAAATGTTGAGAAGTAGAAGAACTTCTAGTTGATGGGTTTTGCGTTCAGCCATCTTAAGGATGAGTAAAATAGTTCAAAATCGTTTGCTTTATTTATACAAATTTTATGAGCACATAAAGGTTAAAAGCATTTGGGATTTGTTGGTTTAAGGCCTTTTCAGTTTGACGTTCATTGATTGGCATATAGTAGTTATGAAAAGATATTATAGATATGTCAAATCTCTTTCGAGTTGCCAACATGTGTATATATACATAATTTAGCTTGCCTTCGAATTTATTTTCAATTAGCAATGCTATAATGTAGTTCTACTCAAGTTTAAATGAATTAAGCCTATGTTTGGATTAGGGAATTTAAAATTCTTTGATTTTGAATTCTAAGAATTAGTTTTTTTAGGCCAACAACCAACTCAAGTTCTTCGACATTAGATAAACGGGATTTTGAGGTTATTGAGTACAAAAAGTCGAGCGGCAAAAGACAATGGCGTCACAGTTAAATCATCGGTCACCATATACATATTTTGGCTGCCATGATGAAAGTTGTCGTCTGACGAGAAAAAGGCCATTGTCCAAATTGCGCAAGCCGTTGTACAAAGTAGTTTATTGTCCGTCGCTACATTCTTAGCCTCTTCCCCACAACACTTGAGTTATTGTCACCTCTAAAAACATTTTCTGGGCCCAAGGATGTGATGAGATTTTAATACTGGTCTATATGAACTAATAGTACACATTTTGTTATCAACTCGGAGTGGAAACTTATATATGGCTGTAGTCACTGTACAAATGGAGGAGGGCCTTGAAGAGCTTTTTTTTTTTTTTTTTTTTTGGTGGCTTTAATCTTTTACCAATTACAAAGTGTGGTGAGTTTATGTAGTTTATTATAGACTTTCATCACCCAAGGAGAGATTCTTCATACCATTCTGGTTATGGCAGCCTAACAAACCATTCTAATGGTGTTAAAAGTTAAGAATAAGTTCTCTTATATTCTTCCACCGTAATATGCACCAATTTGAACATATCGTAGGACTGTTAATCAAACACCAAATAGCAAGAAAAACATGACACAATATTTACAAAATTACAAACACCAAATAGCAAGAAAAATTGAAAACAAGCAAACAAGCAAGAGAAACATACAAAATTAAGCAATTTCACAAAAACAAGAGAAATACAGAAATGATGTCAATCAATTGTCTAAATCCAATGGCCTACTCGCCTTCCCCGGCAACGTCGCCATTTTGTTTGTAGTATTTTTAGGTAGTTGATAACCGAGTTACCCAGACTCGGTTGTTCTCAAATGAAGGATATTCGGACACAGATTCAAGCAACGATAGACTCTAACAAGAAAAGAAAATAAAAATCCTAAACACTCTACTAGCAATTTGGGGTTTGGATTAAGCTAAGAACACAGTTTAAGCTAAGACGAAAGCAAGATTCAAACTTTATCGCAAGCAAGACCTCAATTGGCAAGAAAAAGGAAAAAAAAAGGTACTCCTAGACCCGAGATGGAAGGAAGACACTCATAGGTTCGGGAAAATGCAATCAAGCGGTCGTCACTCGTGATCAATTAATCGACCTCTCAATCAATTCTCGCTCACGCAATCAATAACAAAATAACATAATCCTTAGCCTACGAGGATGATAGCATAATCGATTCATGGACGTGCTTATCTTAACCCTAGAATAAATTCAATAAGTAAGACAAGCAAGACTCACGAAATCATGGATCTTAAACGAAGTCTCTAAGTCTCTAATGCATCCACGAGAAGAAATAAGCGAAAAAGCTGTAATCTTGGTGGAGAAATATTACAACAGAATAGGGTCTTGGAGCCCTTAGAGAGAAAAATAAAACTAGAGATAGAAGAGAGGAAAAACTAAAAAAGAAAAATATAGCAAATGAGGAATTTCTCTAAACATACAAGCACAATGTCTATTTATAGCTACACCACAAACACACACATTTAATGAGGGAAACTCGCAGGATAGGTCGAACTCGCAAGCAAAGGTGGAATTCCGCGAGCATATTTCGCTGGCAATGCAAGATGGGCACGGACTCGCGGGCAACAGGTGGTTCGCGGGCGCGGGCGCGGGCGCGGGCATGCCGACTCGCGAGCAGGAAGCGCACTGGGCAGCACTTGCGGGTTACCAGCGTTTCGCGGGCGCAAAGTGTGGATTTGCGGGCAAGAACATGGCGCTACACTCGCGGCTTCTGGTGTTCTCGCGCGCACGGAAGTAGAATTCGCGACCTGGGCCGGACTCGCGGGCAAGCTCTCGCGCGCGGGATGAAGAAACTCGCGAACTGGGCGCTTCATGAAGGACGCTCGTGAGTTCAGTAGGGAGTTCGCGCGCGCAGAATGCCGACTCGCGGGCTACTGGGCGTGCGACGTGTGCGTGCGGGCTATGCACTTGGCTCGGGCAGGTGCGCGGGTGTAGTCCCAGTCGTGGCTCGGTTGGCTCGGTCGGGTCAGTCGGGTCAGCTTGGTCGGCTCGGTTCTGACGGCTCGTTTTCCCAAGCTCGACAAAATGAAACTAATCAACACCAAAAAGACAAGAAAAATTCGTCGAACCACAAAAACACAATACGAGAATAAAAATGCACAAAACACGATAAAATAGACCGGTCGACACTAAAACTGAGCTAAAAAGACTCAACAAAGGTACATAAAACACACGTAAATAAGCACAAAAAATACAATAAACAATAGGTGTCTTCAATCAACCAATGTTACGACAATATATATATATATATATATATATATATAGATAGATGTGTACCTTTAATCAAATCAAATATGTTATTGTTCCGAATCTTTTTTAAGTAAATTTTCTTTTTAAACAATTACGACATTAAAGACATTTTTAAATATTTAATTATATAATATGTCATTATATCAAGAGAGAACATATATATCCATTGTTATAAAATATAACTTGCATATATAATTGAATTAATTTGCAATTGTTATAATCAAAATAACAGAGAATGAACCATTAAAGTCTACAATGAAAAAATTGTAATTACAAATGGTAGTTATAGCAATTCGATTATTTTCAAAGAGTATGACACAAAAGGAAAATATTTAACAATAATAATGATAATTACTTTAAACATAATGACGATATCATTAAATAACAAAAATAAAAAACGACATAGATTTCTTTAACATTTTTAGAATTTTACAAACAAAATATTAATTTTAATTTGAATTTTCAATACAATATTTTTTTTACCTAATTTTATTGGTCATAGAGTTGGTTAACAGTATTAAATACTACCTCCTATTCATTTTAGATGTCATTTTGATATTATCAACTATTAACAAAATAAATGTCGTTTTGAATATTTTGTACATATTTTTCCACTATTACCTTCATCTAACTAATAAATACACTACGTCTTTTCATATTCACTTTTCATCTTTTCTTAAAACATTCATCTCTATCGTCATTAATGAGGGTTATTATTGACAAAAGAATATTATTAATAACTGTGCAACTTCTTAGAATGACATCCTCCCTATATATAATTCTCGAATGCGCTGAGCCTACGTGGCTGTTTCTGGTGCTTCGGAATCCTATTTGGCGAAGAATCATGCTTCGTAGTTAGGTTTGGATAAATAATATTATATATTAATAATTAATAATATAAGTCCGGGCATTCCATAAATATTATTTAGCTATCTTAGGTATTTTAATATCAATTGTACTAATATAACCCTTTAATTCTTTGTAATTTTAGATAGTGAGTTACTATGTTACTAATATATCTCTGGCTTTTGATTTGTTTCCTACAATTAGCTATTGAATTATAAATGTATTTTAAAAGTTGATAACTTTTGTATTTCTTATCGGTTTTACATATATA